ATTTTATTAAAAATAAAAATAATAATAATAATAGGAGAAATGTGGGATCAACATATAAATCAAGTACAAAAATCAAATGAATATTCATATTTGACCTGATGGTTTATAGGTCATATTGCATGATCAAAANAAAAAAAAAAAAAAAAAAAAAAGAAATCCAAACACAACACTAAAGAATACCAATAAACAATAAATAACAATAAAAGTACAAAGAGGAAGAAAGGACCAGAGAGGAACTACAAAAACAACCAGAAAACAATAAAATGGCATTAACTACATATCTATCAATAACTACTTTAAGTGTAAATGGACTGAATGCACCTTCAAAAGACACAGGATGGCGAACAGATAAAGAAATACGACCCATTCATGTTCTGCCTACAGAAGACTCATTTCAGACCTAAAAAACTATATAGACTGAAAGTGAAGAGATGTAAAAAGATATTTCATGCAAAAATGGGGAGAAAAAAGAAGGAACAGCAGTACTTACAGACAAAATAGACTTCAAAACAAAGAAAGTAACAAGAGGTAAAGAAGGACACTACATAATGATAAAGGGATCAGTCCAACAGTAGGATATAACAATTATAAATATCTATGCATCTAAGATATGAGCACCTAAATAAGTAAAACAAATGCTAACAGAACTAAAGGGAGAAATAGACTGCAGCTCAATCACAATAGAGGACTTTAACACCCCACTTACATCAATGGACTGATCATTCAGACAGAAAATAAATGAGAAAAAAAGAAGCACTGAACAATACATTAGATCAAATGGACTCAACAGATATGTACAGAACATTCCACCCAAAAGCAGCAGCATACACATTCTTCTCAAGTGAAAATGGAACATTCTCCAGAACAGATCATGTATGGACACATAAAGAGCCTCAATAAATTCAAAAAATTGAAATTGTATCAAGCAACTTCTCAGACCACAGTGGTATGAAACTAGAAATAAACTACATGAAGAAAACAGAGAAAAAAAACATGGATGCTAAACAGCATGCTTCTAAGTGACCAATGGGTCAATGAACAAATCAAAATAGAAATCACACAATACATGGAGACAAATGAAAACAAAAACACAACAGTCCAAAATTTGTAGGATACTGCAAAAGCTGTCCTCAAGAAGGAAGTACATATCAATACAGACCTAGCCCAAGAAACAAGAACAATCCTATATAAACTGTCTAAACTTACAACTAATGAAACTAGAAAAAGAAGAGCAAATGAAACCCAAAGTTATAAGGAGGAATATAATAAAGATCAGAGTAGAAATAAATAAAATAGATGTGAATAAAACAATAGAAAAAAAATTCAGTGAAACCAAGACCTGGTTCTTCAAGATGATAAATGAAACAGACAAACCCCTACCCAGACTTATCAAGAAAAAAAGAGGACACAAACAAAATTAGAAACAAAAAAAGAATAGTTATAACTAGTACCACAGAAATACAAAGACTTATTAGAGAAGTCTATGAAAAATTACATGTCAATAAAATGCACAACCTAGAAAAAATGGACAAATTCGTACAAAAGTACAACCTTCCATGACTGAACCAGGAAGAGGCAGAAATCTGAACAGACCAATAACCAGTAGCAAAATTGGACTGGTAACCAGAAAAATCCCCAAAAACAAAATTTCACAGCTAAATTCTCCCAAACTTTTAAAGAAGAGCTAATACCCATTTATCATACCTTACGGTACTACTGCCAAAATACCTCATTTTCTGTAAGTTTAGGAATTTTAGGCAAAGAAATCCATTAAAAACCTCCTTAAAGTATTCCAAAAAGTAGAAGAGGAAGAAATCCTTCTGAACTCATTCTATGAGGCCAGCATCTCTCTAATAACAAAACCAGACAAAGACACTACAAAAAAAGAAAATTATAGACCACTATCCCTGATGAACACAGACACAAAAATCCTTAAAACAATATTAGGAAACCAAATTGAAAAATACATTAAAAGTATCATCCATCACAACCAAGTGGGATTTTTGCCAAGGATAAAAGGATGGCACAATACTAAAAACTCAATCAATATGATACACCACAACAGCAAACAAACGGATAAAAAACATTTGATCATCTCAATAGATGCTAAAAAGGCATTTGACAAAATTCAATATACATTCCTGACAAAAACTCCCAACAAAATGGGTATAGAGGGAACATACATCAACATAATAAAGGCTGTATATGACAAATTCACAGTTAACAATATACTTAATGGTGCAAAGCGGAAAGCTCTTCCTCTAAGATCAGAGAAAAGACAAAGATGTCCACTCTCACCACTTCTTTGCAACATTGGACTGGAGGTCCCAGCCACAGCAATCAGACAAAAGATAAAAGGCATCCAAACTGGCAAGGAAAAGTAAAACTGTCACTATTTGCAGATAACATGATACTATATAAAGAAAACCCTAAAGACCCCACAGAAAAAAACTATTAGAACTCATAACTGGGTTTAGCAAAGTTGCAGGATACAAAATTAATACACAGAAACCTGTTGTGTTCCTATATACCAACAATGAACTAGCAGAAAGAGAAATCAGGAAAACAATTCCATTCACAATTGCTTCAAAAAGAATAAAATACCTAGGAATAAACCTAACCAAGGAGGTGAAAGACCTGTACTCTGAAAACTATAAGATACTCAGTGAGATAAATTAAAGAAGACACCAATAAATGGAAATTTATACCATGCTAATGGATAGGAAGAATTAACATTGTCAAAATGGCCATCCTGTGCAAAGCAATTTACAGATTCAATTCAATCCCTATCAAGATACCTATGGTATTTTTCAATGAACTAGACTGAATAATTCTAAAATTCATATGGAACCACAAAAGACCCTGAATAGCCAAAGCAATCCTGAGGAAGAACAAAGCTGAAGGTATTATGCTCCCTGATTTCAAGCTACACTACAAAGCTACAGAATCAAAGCAGTATGATAGCACAAGGAGAGACCTCACAGATCAATGGAACAGAATAGAAAGCCTAGATATAAACCCACACATACATGGTCAATTTATATATGATAAAGGAGCCATGAATATACAATAGAGAGAAGACAGCCTTTTCAATAACTGGTATTGGGAAAGCTGGATGGCTACACACAAGAAAATGAAACAGAACTACTATCTGACTGCATATGCAAAAGTAAACTTAAAATGGATCAAAAACCTAAATGTAAGACATGAACCCATAAAAATATTAGGAGAAAACAAAGGCAAAAAATCCCTTGAACATAAGCACAAGCAATTTTTTCCTGGACACATCTCCTCAGGCAAGGGAAACAAAATAAAAAAACTAACAACTGGGACTATATCAAACTGAAAAGCTTCTGTACAGCAAAGGACCTCATCAGCAGAACAAAAAGGCACCCTACAGTATAGCAGAATATATTTGTAAATGATTTATCCAATAAGGAGTTAACATTCCAAAATATATTAAAGAACTCATAGGCCTCAACACCAAAAAACAAATAACCCAATTAAAAAATAGATGGAGGACCTGAACAGACATTTCTCTAAAGAAATACAGTTGGCCAACAGGTACATGAAAAGATGCTCCACATCGCTAAACATCAAGGAAATGCAAATGAAAACCACAATGTGATAACACCTCACAGTTAGAATGGCTACTATCCAGAAGACAGGAAATAACAAGTATTGGCGAGGATGCAGAGAAAAGGGAACCCTCCTACACTGTTGGTGGGAATGTAAATATATGCAGCTACTGTGGAAAGCAGTATGTAGGTCCTTCAAAAAACTAAAAATAGAAAGACCATATGACCTAGTAATCCCACTTCTAGGAATTTACCCAAGTAAAACAAAATCCCTTGTTCAAAAACATATGTGCACCTGTAAGTTTATTGCCCCATTATTTACAATAGCCAAGATATGGAAGCAACCAAATGTACAATAGATGAATGGATAAGGGAGACGTGGTACATACACACAATGAAATATTATTCAGTCATCAAAAGAAAGGAATCCTGTCATTTGTAACAACATGGATGGACCTAAAGGGTATTATGCTAAATTAAATAAGCCAGGTGGAGAACGACAAACACCGTATGATTCACTTTTTTGTAGAATCTAAAAACAAAAGAAGACAAAACAAATAAAACAGCAGTAGATTCACAGACACTGACAATGTGCTTTCCTTGGGGGAGGGATTAGGGTGGCTGGTGGGGAGTTTAAGGGGGATAAAGGAACATAAAAATTCTCAATCATAATGTAAGTTGGTCACAGGGATGGTATGACAGCATGGAGAATATAAGCCAATGATTCTGTAACATCTTGCTATGTTAACAGTAACTGCACTAGTTGGGATGAGGATTTAATAATGTGGGTATCTGTTGAACCACTGTGTTGTATACTTGAAACCAATATGAGATTGTATACCAACCATACTTCAATAAAAAATTAATTTAAGAAATGTACTTAAAAAAAGAAAAAGAAATTTGTAACTGTGTGGTGATGGATGTTAAATTAGGCCTATTTGGTGATTTTTGCAATGTATACAAATATCGAATCATTATGTTGTACACGTGAAATTAATATGTTATATGTCAATCATGTATCAATAAAAAACTAAATAAAATTTAAAAAGAAAAAAAGGAGATGTTTGGAAGTTTCTAGGTAAGAATTTAAATACAGTAAAAATCATGATTGGCAGAAGATAAAAGAAATGCCTAGTAAATACAGCAGCACACATATAAATGTGATCTTGGGAGATCTAAAGATCTAGAAATTATACAGTCCATTCAATCTTGCAGAAAACTATACTATAAGACTGTTGGAAGTATGGGAAGAATTAAAGATAGATATATAAAAAATTTAGCAAATGAAACACAATGAGGCAATTAAGTAACTCCAAAAAGCCATAAATGACAGGGGACAAAAATAATCATTCTGAGTATTGAAACAACTTAGGTAATTATCTGTTCACAAGTAATGAATGAAAACACAAGTGGACCTCTTACCTGCTTCAGTGCAGGGGAACACGGGATCAGCTCTCCTATTCTGTTTATCCCAGCATTGATTTTCTTCTTTCTATGCCTCTCCACTAGATAGGGGGAAAATCCATTTATCATACCTTACAGTACTACTGCCAAAATACCTCATTTTCTGTGAGTTAAGGAATTTTAGGTAAAGAAATCCCTTAAAAAATCTTATCAAACTCTACTTACTGAAGACAAATAATTCTAGCAATTACTTCTAAGAATGTCATATTTTAAATCTAGTATTATGGAAATTGATATAAGCAATACTTTTATCAGCATTTTAAAGAATTTGACTTATAATATTTATATTCAGACTATAAACAAATTGCTAATATTACATTATATAGGACATTATTATATTTCAAGTAAATATGACAGTTTTTAATGATACCTAAATTTTCAAGAACCCACTAACAAAGTAAGCTACTGGAAAGCTTCCTCTTCATAGCAAATGGACAAATGAGACCTTTTTAAAGAACCTTAAAAACACCTTTTAGGATGACTAGAAAGCATTTTTGGAATAGGAACAGCCATTTGTTATGACTTAAAATAGAGAAGAGAAAGTATCGGTTTGATTTTTTCTATGAGGTCTGGGCTTGCACTCCATCTGTGTAGGATTTTTCCCAAGAAACTGGGCATCTGAGAACTTTTCAGTTAACTGAGATATGTTTCAGGCTTGCATGCTGCAACTTAAAAAGTTGTATGTAAGGAGCAAGAGATATAAGACATGATCTAAATAATTTCTATAAAACACTATATGTAGAAACATTAGCCTTAACTATAGTCTGTTAGAAAGTTTTCTAAAACCTTCCTTCTAACAAAGGATTCCAATGTTCCTAAAAGGATGATCTTTCAGAATATAGCACAGGAAGGTCTTGTCTTGCAAAATATGTATATACTTTTTGCTTTATAATCTAGCAGTAAGGAGCACATAGTTCATATGGCCAAAAAAAGATTAAATTCAATTCATATAGCCAAAAAAAAGTACAGCTCCCCTTTCTCCCAAATTCTCTAACAATAGAATTTGTTGTTATCTAAGAGCATATTCTTTAATTTGTAGAGGTAAAGACAACACTGATCCTTACCCCAATGACAATGGGGAATTCAAAGGGAGTAACCTCTCATTCTGGGGAACAGTGATATCCTACCAGCATTCAACACATATTCCACACATAAAATTTTCCTCAGGGTCCTTTCCTTAGGGACCTAGGGACCTTTCCTTAGGGAAAGGACGGTATCATTTCCAGAGTAATGGAAATTAACTTCTAACAGATTTGTTTTTAGATATGACTGTAGTCCCTGACAGAAAATGAAATGTCAAAAAATGTACCAAACTGTAAATGTAGGCACAATTACTTCTATAAATATTTTTCTGACTTTGGCGTATAATTTTCATGTTTGAGATAAATCAGGTATTTATTTTCTACATTTCTTCCTGTAATTGAGGACTCTACAACTTAATTTAAGATTCACATTTCAAGTACCTTTAAGATCTACAGCCTGCTGCTCATCTCTTCCCTACTCCTCTAGGCAGCCAGCCCCCTCTGGAATTTCTGCAAAGACACATACTCTTTATTCTAAATTTACAGGAAGTATACTTGGACTTCCTCAATGGGTGAAATCACTTAAAACACTAGCTCTAGAGGCACATTAATCCTTAATGTATCTAAATAGATGACAAATCAGAAGATGATAAACAAGCCATCTTCATGAGACTCAGGGGGTGTTTTGTCAAACAACAAAGCAACACTTTCCTAAAATATAATAAAAAATGATTTTATGCTTATAACATAAAACTAATCATCAATGCAGCATAATTTCATTTTGAATGCAAAAAATGTTGACAAAATGTAAAGTGTTGTTTCTACCTGCATTGTGTGTCTCCCGGTTTTTCTTTCTGAAATAAAAAATGCAGATTAAAGAAACATGAAAGAAATAGAAAAACATTTTCACCATTTTATATTTTGAGAATCATAAAGTACAGTGTATAAATTTGTATTTATTGCATATCAGAAGGAAAAAATTTGTATATATATTAAGGCATGAAAACCTAAATGCAGATACATCAATATAAATTTAGAATCCACAATTTCTGAAAGTAAATACAATTCTCTATTTGGTTAGGAAGTAAATCAATCAATGAAAATCTTAACTATTTGAAAAATGTGATGTGCCAAGTAGGTGATTCCTGATTAGAGAATAGTGATTTTAATATTAATGGATGCATTAGCCATGCAGTTCTAAGAAGAAATCTGCCCCAAATGCTAGAAATTCAGAAGGGGGATTATACCAGGAACCAGAAGTAATATTATGCTGATATGCATATTATAATATCACAAAATTAAAATATCATAAAATGTCTATTCAAACTGATGTTAGCCTAAGTGAATTTAGAATCTACAATGATTAATACTGTATGTGAGTATAATTTCAGAAGATACTAAACATTTAGCATAGATTTGGTATAATACTCTTAACTACTGATTGTCATTCTTGTTACACTGTTAATAGAATAAAGGACAGGTAACTTTTAACTATATACCCCCTTGAGTAAATCTATATATATTTACCCACACGTATTTCTGAAAAGTAATGGTTTCTAGGTATCCAAATGAAAATTTACTAGGGACCACCTATTCAGTAAAGTAAGGACTAATTCTGCTTCTTACCTGCCCCAACAATTTTATTTTGGGACTGCAGCTACATACCTGTGCTGCTTTTTTGTAGGAGTCTCATTCTCTGTCATTTCTGGCATGGTTACAGTGGTTACAGTGATAGGAACCTATAAGGCAGTGAAAGACATGACAGAAAGTTTAAAGTCATTCTGGTATCTTAGAGAAATTGATTAACAGCAATTAGGTTTGAACACCAATATGCTAAAAAATAAAAGTGATATCATGAAAAAGCACCAGACTAGCTGTTACAGATAGAAAAAGGTATAAGAAAACAGGACAGAGATTGGCTTAAAGATAGCGGCGTGAGAGGTGAGACAAGAAACCTCCTCCCAAAATCACATATAATATGAAAATGTGGCAAAACAATTAATATTGAATGAGTAACAGGAAAGAAGGCTGCAGCAGACTGCCTACACCTGGGGAACAGAACAGACTTCACTGGAAAAGGGTAAAGTCCCAAAGCCCTGATCCAGCAGGACCCAATCCCTTCCCCCACCCCAGCTCACCGGCAAGAGGAAGAGAAATGGAGCAGGGAGGGTGGGAACAGTTACAACTGCTGAACACCCAGCCCTGGAGATCTCTGGGAGCATGAACCTATATTACACGGTGCTCTGGAGATCAGTGGGGTTGGAAAGTTAAGACAGGCAGAATACCTGGAGAGACTGAAATTCCAGCAGCTTGTGGAGAACAGGCACCCACCACCAGCAGCTCTGGGACAAAAAAAAGGCAGGCACTCTGAGAGACTTCCTAACAGTGAGGGCTGCTAAAGGGGCAAGGATTGCACAGAGTTTGCTGCTCAGGAGAAAGGACAGGTGGACAAAAATGTCATGGCACAATCAGCCCTGCAGGTTGGGAACTTTCAGGAGCTTCAGGCACTCCATCTCCCTAGCTGGCTACACAGCTAAGAGGCTGACCACCAGGATACACAGCCTGCCGCTCCTTCCTCCCAGCTGGCACCAGCTTGCAAACTGGCTGCCCCTACCATTGCACTAACCAGCCAGAGGGCAGCCACATTACGGAAGCTACAAGTGCATAGCACGGAGGCTCCTCCCTACGTGCTTGGCCCACTGGCACTGGCAGTGGAAGGAAGAAACTGCAGCTGGGAGGCAGGAAAGAGCTCTTTCCTCTGGCAGGCACAAGTGCCGCTCACCTGCGACCCCCCACCATCGATGAAGGGCTGAGAAGCTCCAGAAGTAGAGCTTCTGGGTACTAGATGGCACCACCTACAGATATGAAATGTCAAAGGAACCTGGTCAAAGCAAAATCCCACAAACAGCAGAAAGAGGGCCAAGTGAAACTGAACTCACCAATCTTCCTGAAAGAGATTTCAAAATAAAAATCGTACACATGCTCACAGAGTTACAGAAAAATATTCAAGAACTCAGGGAGGAATTCAAGAATGAGACAGAAACTTTGAAAAATACAATATCTGAAATGAAACATACAATGGAGGGATTTAAAAGCAGATTAGATGAAGTAGAGGAGACAGTAAATGAAATAGAAATTAGAGAACAGGAATACAAAGGAGCTGAGGAACAGAGAGAAGAAAAGGATCTCTATAAATGAAAGAATATTGAGAGAACTCTGTGACCAACTCAAACAGGACAATATTCACATTATAGGAGTACCATTAGAAGAGAGAAAAAGGGATAGAAAGTGTCTTTGAGGAGGTAATTGCTGAAAACTTCCCCAATCTGAGGAAGGAGAAAGTCTCTCAGGCCATGTAGGTACACAGATCTCCCAACACAAGGGACCCAAGGAAGACAACACCAAGACATAAAATAATTAAAATGGCAAAGATCAAGGATAAGGACAGACTTTTGAAAGCAGCCAGAGAGAGAAAAAAAGATCACATAAAAAGGAAAACCCATCAGGCTGTCATCAGACTTCTCAACAGAAACCTTACAGTCCAGGAGGGAGTGGCATAGTATATTTAATGCAATGAAATAGGGCCTCTAACCAAGAATACTCTACCCAGCAAAATTATCATTTAAATTTGAAGGAGGGATTAAATAATTTCCAGATAATCAAAATTTGAGAGAATTTACCTCCCACAAATTGTCTCTACAGTGTATTTTGGAGGGACTGCTATTGATGGAAGTGGTCCTAAGGCTAAATAGCTGTCGCCAGAGAAAAATAAAACAACAGTAAAGAAAGTAGACCAATTAATTACTAAGCAGATGCAAAATTAAATCAACTATCCCCAAAGTCAGACAATTGACAGACAAAGAGTACAGAATATGATACCTAATAAATAAAATACAGAGGAGGAAGAAGAAAGAGGAAAAAAAAAAGAACCTATAGATTGTGTTTGTAATAGTGTACAAAGTGAGTTAAGTTAGACTGTTAGATAGTAAAGAAGTTACACTTGAACCTTTTGTAACCACAAATTTAAAGCCTACAATGGCAATAAGTACATACCTATCAATAATCCCCCTAAATGTAAATGGTCTGAATGACCTAATCAAAAGACATAGAGTCACTGAATGGATAACAAAATGATTCATCTATAGGCTGTCTACAAGAGACTCACTTCAAACCCAATGACATACACAGACTAAAAGTGAAGGGATGGAAAAAGGTATTTCATGCAACTAATAGGGAGAAAAAAGTAGTTTTTGCAGTACTTGTATCAGACAAAATAGATTTCAAAACAAAGAAAGTCACAAGAGACAAAGAAGGACATTACATAATGATAAAGGGGTCAGTCCAACAAGAGGACATAACCATTATAAATATCCATGCACCCAACATGGAAGCACCTACATACATGAAACAAATACTATCAAAATTAAAGAGAGAATTAGAGTGCAATGGATTCATTTTAGGAGACTTCAACACACCACTCACTCCAAAGGACAGATCAACCCGACAGAAAATAAATAAGGACACAGAGGCACTGAACAACATATTAGAAAAGATGAACCTAGAAGACATCTACAGAACTCCCCAATCAAAAGCAGCAGGATACACATTCTTCTCAAGTGTACATGGAACATTTTCAAGTTAGATCATATACTAGGACACAAAAAGAACCTCAGTAAATTCAAAAGGATTGAAATTGCACCAACCAGCTTTTCAGAACACAAAGGTATGAAACTAGAAATAAATTACACAAAAAAAACAAAAAACCCACAAACACATGCAGGCTTAACAACATGCTCCTAAATAATCAATGGATCAATAACCAAATAAAAACAAAAATCAAGCAATATATGGAGACAAATGACAATAACTCAACACCACAAAATCTGTGGGACACAGCAAAGGCCGTGCTACAAGGAAAGTATATTGCAATACAGGCTTACCTCAGGAAAGAAGAACAATCCCATATGAACAGTCAAAACTCACAATTAATGAAACTAGAAAAAGAAGAATAAATGAGGCCCAAAGTCAGTAGAAGAAGGGGCATAATAAAGATTAGAGCATAAATAAATAAAATCGAGAAGAATAAAACAATAGAAAGAATCAGTGAAAGCAGGAGCTGGTTCTTTGAGAAATAAACACAATAGATAAACCCCTAGCAAGATTTATCAAGAAAAAAAGAGAGTCTACACACATCAACAGAATCAGAAATGAGAAAGGAAAGATCACTACGGACACCACAGAAATACAAAGAATTATGAGAGAATACTATGAAAAATTATATGGTAACAAACTGGATAACCTAGAAGAAATGCACAACTTTCTAGAAAAATACAACCTTCCAAGACTGACCCAAGAAGAAACAGAAAATCTGAACAGACCAATTACCAGCAACAAAATTGAATCGGTAACAAAACATACTACCTAAGAACAAAACCACTGGACCAGATGGTTTCACCACTGAATTTTATCAAACATTCAGTGAAATCCTAATACCCATCCTCCTTAAAGTTTTCCAAAAAAGTAGAAGAGGAGGGAATACTTCCAAACTCATTTTATAAAGCCAGCATCACTCTAATACCAAAACCAGGCAGACATCACAAAAAAAAAAGAAAATTAAAGACCAATATCCCTGATGAACATAGATGCAAAAATATTCAAAAAAATATTAGCAAACCAAATTCAAAAACATATCAAAAAGATCATCCACCATTATCAAGTAGGATTTATCCAGGAATGCAAAGATGGTAAAAACATCAACATCATACACCACATCAACAAAAAGGACAAAAGTCACTTGATCATCTCCAGAGATGCTGAAAAAGCACTTGACAAAATTCAACATCCATTCATGATAAAAACTCTCAACAAAATGGGTATAGAAGGCAAGTACCTCAACATAATAAAGGCCATATATGACAAACTCACAGCCAACATCGTACTTAACAGAGAGAAACTGAAAGCTTTTCCTTTAAGATCTGGAACAAGACAAGGAAGCCCACTCTCTCCACTTTTATTCAACATAGTTCTGGATGTCCTCGCCAAAGCAATTAGGCAACACAATGAAATAAAAGGCATCCACACAGATTGGTAAGGAAGAAGTTAAACTGTCACTGTTTGCAGATGACATGATATTGTACAAAAACCCTAAGGAATCCACTCCAAAACTATTAGAACTAATAACTGAATTCAGCAAAGTTGCAGGATACAAAATCAACACACAGAAATCTGTTACATTCCTATATTCTAACAATGAATGAGCAGATAGAGAAATCAAGAAAACAATTCCATTCACAGTTGCATCAAAAAGAATAAAATACCTAGAAATAAACTTAGCCAAGGAGGTGAAAGACCTATACCTTGAAAACTACAAGACACTCTTAAGAGAAATTAAAGAAGATACCAATAAATGGAAACACATCCCATGCTCATGGATAGGAAGAATTAATGTTTTCAAAATGGCCATCCTGCCTTAAGCAATATACAGATTCAATGCAATCCCTTTCAAAATACTAAAGTCATTCTTCAACGAACTAGAGCAAATAGTTCTAAAATTCATATGGAACCACAAAAAACCCCAAATAGCAAAAGCAATCCTGAGAACGAAGAATAAAGCAGGGGGATTACGCTCCCCAACTTCAAGCTCACTACAAAGCTACAGTAATCAAGACAATTTGGTACTGGCACAAGAACAGACCCATAGATCAATGGAACAAAATAGAGAGCCCAGATATAAACCCACACATATATGGTCAATTAATATATGATAAAGGAGCCCTGGATATACAATGGGGAAATGACAGCCTCTTCAACAACTGATGTTTGCAAAACTGGACAGCTACATGTAAGAGAATGAATCTGGATTATTAACTGTCTCATTCCATACACAAAAGTAAACTCAAAATGGATAAAAGACCTGAATCTAAGTCATGAAACCATAAAACTCTTAGAAGAAAACATAGGCAAAAATCTCTTGAATATAAACATGAGCAGCTTTTTCCTGAACACATCTCCTTGAGCAAGGAAAACAAAAGCAAAAATGAACAAATGGGGCTACATCAAACTAAAAAGCTTCAGTACAGCAAAGGACACCATCAGCAGAACAAAAAGACATCCTACAGTATGGGAGAATATATTCATAAAGGACATATCCGACAAGGGATTAACATCCAAAATACATAACGCACCACATCCCTCAACACCCAAAAAGCAAATACCTGATCAAAAAATGGGCAGAAGATATGAACAGACACTTCTCCAAAGAAGAAATTTAGATGGCCAACAGGCACATGAAAAGATGCTCTGTATCACTAATTATCAGGAAAATACAAATTAAAACCACAATGAGATATTACCTCACATCAGTTAGGATGGTCAACATCAAAAAGACTAGGAACAACAAATGCTGGTGAGGATGTGAAGAAAGGGGAACCCTCCTACACTGCTGGTGAGAATGTAAACTAGTTCAACCATTGTGGAAAGCAATATGGAGGTTCCTCAAAAAACTCAAAACATTTGACCCAGGAATTCCACTCCTAAGAATTTACCCAAAGGAAACAAGCTCTCAGATTCAAAAAGACATATGCACCCCTATGTTTATCGCAGCACTATTTACAATAGCCAAGGTATGGAAGCAACCTAAGCATCCATCAATATATGAATGAATAAAGAAGATGTGGTACATACACACAATGGAATATTATTCACCCATGAGATGAAAACAAATCCTACCATTTGCAACAACATGGATGGAGCTAGAGGGTATTATGCTCAGTGAAATAAGCCAGGTGGAGAAAACAAGAACCAAATGATTTCCCTCATTTGTTGAGTATAACAACAAAGAAAAATACTAAAGGAACAAAACAGCAGCAGACTCACAGACTCCAAGAAGGGACTAGTGGTTACCAAAGGGGAGGGGTGTGGGAGGGCGGTTGGGAGGGAGGGAGAAGGAAATTGAGGGGTATTATGATTGATACACATGGTGTGGGGGTGGGGGGTTACAGGGAAGACAGTGTAGCACAGAGAAGGCACATAGTAACTTAGTGGCATCTTACTACACTGATGAACAGTGACTGCAATGGGCCATGGGGAGGACTTCATAATATGGGTGAATGTAGTAACCACAATCTTTTTCATGGGAAACCTTTATAAGAGTGTATATCAGTGATACCTCAATAAAAAAATATATATATACACACACATACATATAAAGAAAACAGGACAAAAAATATTAAAACTAGCAGAGAAACATGGTGAATGTCAAATAAGAGCATAGTCAGAAACAGATTGAGAAGACTGGAGTAAAGAAAGATCATTATGAGCTTGGAAATCAAGAAAGGCTTAAGGGGATGTGGATTTGAGCATATCAGATATGGGAGGACAGATATAACATACTTGAGTTGGGGCAGTATGTGTTCTTTGTTCATGTTACTGTTTGAAGTGTTATACAAAACTGAAACTAGAACCACAGTGCCCTTCTCTGAACACAGAAGAACACAACTGTGACAAGGCACACACATGGACTCTTCCATACATGGAAGAGAGCAAGCATTTACTCATTAACTCATTTGCTAGGCTTCTCTCAAACTGCCAGAAGTCGTACACTATCATTTGAGAGTTGTAAATCTGAGTATGAGTATGAAAATTGTACTTACAATTAAAATATCAGGATACTAAAAAAATACATGTATTATAAGGAAATACATACATATATCAAAAAAGGTTGAAAGCAAATACATTAAAATATTAACCATATTTATGTAAGACAAGCAATATTATAGTTGATTTCTTTCTCCTCTTTCATGTTCAAAGTTTCGTAATGAAAACTTGAATGCCCTTACCCAGGGTCTGACAACCTTTCAAAAGAGGTCTGTCAAGTTGGGATACCTGTTCTGTACAGTGGAGGAGATGGCAAGTGTGGTTTCCTGTTTTCTCCCTGAAAAAGAAAGAAGGCAATGAATATGGAATCGGAAGTGAGAAAGCATGAGTTTAAAAATCTGGTTCTGCTATTTCCTAGTTGTGAGGACCTAGGCCATGTGTATAACCTCTTGGGACCTGAGCGGTTTCATCTACAAAATGGATCATAATCACAGCATCTAGATCATTGGGTTGTTTTGAAAAGGAAATGAAATAATGCAAGAGCATGGCAGCTCAGTGCCTAGCAGTACTTAAAATAATTCAATAAATGTGAGCAATGAATATTAATGAGGTTCAGGTTAAGGCTTATTCCTGGAAAGGAGGAAGAAGGGTCCTGGGAAATGAGTAGAAGAATGCAGACAAGGTAAATGACAGAAAAGTACTTACTGAAGCTGCCTGAGGAGATATGTGTGTGCTCAAGACCCATTTCCAGCAGCTTATTCTACCCTCTCCCTAACATTTGTGAAGGTACACATCAGCCTAAAGCAACACGCTTGATTAGATAACCATATAATAATAATGCAGGATATGTGAATAAATAAATAAATAAATGTCACCTTTCTCACCTAAGGATTTGCAGAATTTCTTCACTTTTGATTCCTGGCTTCCAACACCTCCTGTTACTGATCCAAATCTATCATCTTCTGCCAGAGGGTGGTCTATAAGTTTTGTTTTCTTCTTACTATACAAGAGAAAAATCAATGAATGTTTATAGAGGCTATGAAACTATGATTCCATTAGCAGCATGTAAAACAAGGATTGGCAACAGGCAAGCAGTTTTAGTGGCATATAGGATGATCCTGAATTTCTCCACCACTTGAAAACTAATGAATGTAGCTGCTATCAAAACTCACTTTTCCCTGGGTTAGCCAAGCTCTACTCCCGCAAAGATGGTAGTGCTGCAGCTATTGGATGGTTTCAGGTGATTTTCTTCTTTCTTTTCTGTGTGCTCACTGGCCCTTTTCTCACTGCCCTCCAAATTTTCCTGATAAGAGACACCTGGGACACTTACTAAATTTCAGACCCCTCCTTAGGTCTTACACTAAGAACTGTCCCCAGTTCTAAAATGATCTTTCCTTCAAACTTTTTGAGAGGGCATCTCTCATATTTATTGATCAAATGGTTGTTAACAACAATAAAATTCAGTATAGGGGGGTCAATGTTCAATGTACAATCATTAATCCATCTCAAGTCTAATTCTCGTCAGTCTCCAATCTTCTGAAGCATAACGAACAAGCTCTTACATGGTGAACGAATTCTTACATAGTGAATAAATTCTTACATGGTGAACAGTACAAGGGCATTCATCACAGAAACTTTCGGTTTTGATCACGCATTATGACCTATAAACAATCAGGTCAAATATGAATATTCGTTTGATTTTTGTACTTGATTTATATGTTGATCCCACATTTCTCCCTTTATTATTATTATTTTTTTATTTTTAATAAAATGCTGAAGTGGTAGGTAGATGCAAGATAAAGGTAGAAAACATAGTTTAGTGCTGTAAGAGGGCAAATGTAGATGATCAGATGATCAGGTGTGTGCCTATGGACTAAGTATTAATCCAGGCTAGACAAGGGCAGCAAAACATCCACGGATGCAGAAGATTTCTCTCAAAACAGGGGGGTGAGGTTCTGAGCCTCACCTCTGTTGATCCCCAAATTCTCACCTGATGGCCCCCCTGCGACTGTGCCTTTCTTAGGTTGTTCCTCCCTTGAGGAATCTTACCCGTCTCTGGCTAACCAGTCATCTTCCGGGGCCATACAGGGAAATGTAAAGTTGGTAAGTGAGAGAGAAGCCATATTGTTTGAAAAGGTTAGCTTTTTACTTCTTTGCAGATTTATGCCCTGTGGCTTCTATGCCCAGCACTTGTCTCGAGGTATCTTTACCACCTGGAGGAATTATGATACTCGGTAAATTCGATATGAGGCACGAATTCTATTTAAGGGTTGTAATTAGGAAGAAAGAAGAAAAGCTACAGATGTAGCATATGGAAGGAAACATGGGAGGATTATTTCTTTGACATATCTTCTTGTAGAGTACCTTAGGTATGTATAGGTTTTAAACTACTAACTAATTTGCACACACATATTAACATAATAAGAATACGGTGACATAAACAAAGCAAATCTATAATTACCATCCATCTCCAGTGAAGCCAAGAAGACCATTTAGGCACCCTAGGCATTTGTGAAAATTTGTCTATGATATGATGGATATTGTCCAACTGTACTTGAACAGTCTGAGAGAAATAAGACAAATTAAAGCAGCCCATTTCTGGAATCTGTTCACATCCCATATGTTCTTTTAACCGTAGATAGTCTATAGTCATAAGATTTTGGAGTGCTACACCTTGCACCCCTCCCAACTCCTGGTTGAGTTCCAACAGTACAGATCCGGTCAAATTCATTGTCTCACTGTATGCACATTCCAGCCTAGACATCTCCCTCCTCATTCCTATGGCAAGTCCAGGAGACGGTGGGCTGGATGCAGCCACAACCGCAGCATCGTCCGGATCCCTGTGGAGGCTTTTGGATGATCATCCCCCGGCACAAGTCCTCCAGAGAGTGCTGATGCCGGAAGCTCCTCCTCATATCGTATCTTAGTTCATTTTCTGGGTATCCAAGCTAGGCCTTGATCTTCTGCATAGAAACAAACAGACCCTTTGCCCACACTTTGACAATTCCTTCAAACTTTTACTTTCCCCTGCCTTCTAGTCAGGGTAACTGAAAACTTACTCAAGAATCTTCCACTAAGGCAGCAACTCTGGGAAGACAGCCCTCAGACCTGTGCATTACAAGTGTTCTAAAAAAAATGTAAACTTGATGATGGGGGGAGTCTAGTAAACATAATGTTCCTCATGTAACTGTAGATTAATGATACCAAAATAAAAAAAAAAATTTTAAATAAATGTAAACTTGAGAGTTTCATCCCAGACAAATGGGGCCCAGGAATTTGTATTTACAACAAGGTGTCTGGGTGATTTTTTTCTTCTTCTTCTTCTTTTTGTACAAAAAAGTTTGAGAAACTTAGCTGTACTATAAGGCAATGTTTCCTAAACATACAAATTCTCAGCCCATTGCAGACCCACTGAATCAGTCTGTAAGAGAGGGGTCTGAAATTTAGTAAGTGCCCCAGGTGTTTCTTATCAGGAAAATTTGGAAACACAGGCAGGGTTCTTTATTTGAGTAAGTTTCAGCACCTAACCAATACCTTATCATAGGAGACATTATTTGAATTGACTGTATAATTTCAACCTATAAACCAGTGAAGTCAGATTTGCCTCTGCCCAGGAGACAGCACTGGGTCATCAGCATCACTGTTCTAGTTGCTCCCCTTCTGCACTACTGAAAGTGTGAAGATTCATGTTACAATTAAGATATCACATAAGTAACATTGCATGGGGGTGGGGGAATGGGGAGAAAAGGGGGGAGGGAAGGAGTTAACTGAAAGAGGCATACAAAAGCATCCAGATAATGTCACTATATCCATCTCAAACCACATTTCAACCAATTTCAATTCCATCTAATTCAATGCAAAATTATTTCCAAGTCCAATTCCTGATATCAAAATTGCATTCCTAATACTAAAAATGAATATTATTGGAATAAGAAACCATATATTGCCATAAATCTTTATTCACTTACTAACCTCCTAATAAGGAAATGGCACATTTAATACAATATTCATATAACTAAATAAAAGTATACCTTCTGAAATATTTAAAGTGCCATGAATTTTTAAAGAAAATTTTTTAATTGTTAACATTAGTAATCTATGAATTGTTATTTTCATTGTAAGAAAGAATTATTTCTGATATTACTCAAACCCAATGATTCAGATCACTTGCACCAAAATCACATCTTCTAAAACTTTTTCCCCTCAAGGTAAAACTTAGATATAGTAAAATGCACAAACCTTAAGTGTAACATTCAATGAGTTTTGACAAATGCACACACCTGTGTCACCCAACCCCCCCCATCAAGGTGCAGAAAATTATCACCAAAATTTTCTCATGACTCTTCCTAGAAATCAATCCCTTCCCATTCTCTTCCACAGAGGCAACCAGTGTTCTCATACTTTTCACCACTGAACTTTATAATGTATTAACTGAGAATTCTATTGTGTCAAACTCTCGCTCAGCATAACATTTAAAAAATTCATCCAGTTGTCTGTTCACTTTTATTGCTCACTATGAATGCATAATTGTGTGTGAATTTATAACACAGTATGTTTATTCATCTTCTGTTGATGGACAACTGGACTGTTTCCATGTTTTAGCTTCTAAGAATAAAGCTGCTATCCATGAACATTCTTGTATAATCTTTTGTGGGTATAGTCTTTCATTTCTCTTGGGTAAATATCTAGGAGAATTGCTTATCATACATCCTGCAGTTCCACTCATAGGTATTTACCCAAGAGAAATGGAAGACTATATCCATAAAAAGACTTATGTAAAAACATTTATCACACTTTCCCCAGAGTGATAGCACCATTTTGCACTCCCACCCACAAAACAGAAAAGTTCTGGTTGCTCCATATCCTCACCAGTGGGTTTTGTCAGCCTATTAATTTTAGTTATTCTGGTGGATATTTAGAGGTATCTCATTATAGTTTAATTTGCATTTCCTGGGTGACTAATAATATTGAATACTTTCTTATGTGTATTAAGACAATTTATAGATCTTATTTTGTCTGCACATATCTTTTGCCTGTTTTTTAACTGGATCATCTTTTATTACTGGTTTATAGTTAATCTTCAAATATTCTGAGTTATTCATATCTTCTGGATACCTGTCCTTTGTCTGAAATATATTTTGCAAATATTTTTCCCATTATGCAGCCTGCTTATGCATTTTAATTGCATCTTTTGATGAGCTAAAGTTCTTGATGAAGTATAACATCCATTTTTTCTTTTATGATTATTCCTTTTGTGTCCTATCCAAAAAACCTTCACCCATCCCCAAGATATTCTCTTATGATTGCCTCTAGAAGGTTTACAGTATTGTCACATTTAGGTCAAGGGTCCATAGTATGTGTGGCATAAGGTAGGGATTAAAGTTCACTTTTTTCCAAATATGAATATTTAGTTGTTCCAATGCCACTTGTTGAAAATATTTCTTCACTGGCACCTTTGTTAAAAATCAATTGCCCATGTAAGTGCAATTCAATTTCTAGGCTCTCTATTTGATCTATCTTTATGCTATTATCACACAGTCTTTATTAAGCATATGTTTAAAAGTACAGATTCCTATGTCCCATGCCAGATCAACCGAATGAGAATCTTGGGAGGGACAGATCCAAGAATACAATGTTCTAACAAGCTTCCTAGATGATCCTTATGCACCCTAAACTTTGAAAACTATTATATTACTTTAATACTCCTTCCTCTAAAACTGATAAAAATCAATGAGCTTACAAAATAAGGTCCATGTGGAAAGATCAGTGAACTTGTAATTAGGAAAACAGAGCTTTACCTCTAGATTTGTTACTCAAAAATCTAGGTATCATTTGATTTATCATAACTTAAGCCCCAAGTTCCTTCACATGTAAAACAAGAGGGTAGGACTAAACTCAATCACTCAGGTACAGGTTGAGTACTTACACACTGCCTAGGAATTGTAGATATAAAGATGAAAAAGGCATGTCTGTCCTCAAGAACAGTCTACATCAGGGCTA